TCCATAATGCTTAGAATTTTCAAGGTTTCATTGAATTAAAAGGTATTTGACTAGTTAAAATGTTTAAATTTCAAAATTTTCAAGTATCCAATAAATGTGAGCTTTGAATTCTAATAGAGTAAAGGTGAAAGCTACTCACAATTGGATTGTGATAGAGTATTGGGAAGTATGATGTATATCAGTAAGTTTGCGCGACAAAATATAGCATATGCTATTAATGAATTGAGTTTGTCCATAAGTGATTCCAATACAACTCATTCAATGACAATGAGAAGAGTTTTGGGGTATTTAAAACACACTCACAACTATGTCTCGCATTATACAAATATCCTACAATAATGAAAGGATGTAATGATGCAAATTGGATCTCTGAGATCAAATGAAGTAAAATCCACGTGTGGATATGTCTTTAATCTTGGTAGAGGAGCGGTCTATTGGAAATCTTACAAAAAAAAAGACATGTAGTGCTAGCTCTACAATGATCTCTAAGTTAGGTGATCTAGAGAAGGTCGGTGAACATGTTTAAAAACTCCGGAATTTCCTTATAGATATTCTTTGTGTCTCAAAACTTTAACATCACTGTGCATACACTTTTATAGTCATGATATAATAGGTAGGGAATGGAGCATGATGTCTAACTAAAAGTCACATCATATAAGACATTGACATGAAACCGTTAGAAAACTACTCTCTAGTGGAATTATCACAATTGCTTATTTTAAGTCAAAGGATAATGTCTCATATCCACTTATAAAAGGCTTAGATAGAGAGAAAGTTCAAATATCATCTAAGAGAATGGGTTCATGTCTTAGGACAAGTCATCATGGCGATAACTCTATCTAGCATACTGTAGATTCAAAGAGCTAGATTCAAGGACAAGAATAGTATTGTGACTAACTGTTCAGCATGGTAAACAAACTCAATCCATTCCCATGATGAACACAATGCTCAAGAAAGAGGATACAACATTAAAGCTTGTTAATAAATTAATAAATCTTAAAGTTTTTAAGTATTTTCTAATTTTGTTACATTTGACAAAATAGTGTATCTTCGAAATAACACATTTAGAAATCATCTATGTAAGTGTGCCCACTACAAGAGGATGATTGTCAAAATCCCATCTATCTATACACTCGTGAAACCAGAAGGTGTTCTTGGATGAAAAGAACACAACTGTAAGAACCATAAATGGTAAAGGGTAAATTGTGTAACATATGGTTGTCTAGGTATACACAAACTTTAGACGGTTCGAAGATATCGCATCTATCGATTGACCGAGTATATACGATATATGTTCACTACTAAAAGTCAAAGGAGAAACCTACTTGTTAAGATGCAACAAATTCTTGCTTGTCAAATACACATATTTGTCATTTTCTTTGTCTTGGAGTCATTTCCCATTCGTGTGGGGGATTTTTGGGTTTTAAAAGGTGTGAATGAAAAATGAAGAGTGGCAACTTTTATGAAGAGTTGTGACTTTTATGAAGAGTGGTGACTTTTATAAAATGTTGTGACTTTTATAAAAAGTTGCGACTTTTATGAAAAAAATTTACTGTTATGAAAGGTTGTGATATTTCCAAAAGATTGTGACTTTTTCAAAGGTTTGTGACATTCTAGTAAGGCACAATAAGTATCTTATCACTACCCTTTGTTTTCTATAAATTAAGGGATTTGCTCTCATTTTAGAAAAAAGAGTGAATTTTCTTGATTTCTTTTTCTACTGTTAAGTCTAGTATTCTAAGTGTACTTTATTGCCATTGAGTGGTTCACTGACACCTTAGTTTTAGGTACCGATACACCGGAGAGTAAGATCGTTATATAATAGGAGGATAAATTTCATTAAACTCGAGTACTTGAGGAGGATAATTTCTTAGAGGGACATTGTGCATTCATTAGCCTCGATTTTCTTGTTTAAGACGAATATTTCGTACATTCTTTCTAATATCTTTTTGATTCTATTTTCTCCAAAAAAAAATTAATTTTCTAGTTGTGAAAATTCTCTCTATATTTTGTTGTTTCATACCAAGTTCTTCAAAGTTTTTTTTCTAAGTATCTTAAGAATACAACATGAACAAAAAAGCAAGGTGAGGAGTCCAACGGTTAAGAGTGTTATTTGATAAGATATAGTTTGTTAGAGGACTAGAAATGCTTAAGTGTGGGGTGGGAATCTTGGTCATATTTGTATGCCCAATACTTTGAAAATACCCATCTTTTGACCTAAGTTTAAGGACATTCACTAAGCTAACTAATATGTTTGAATTGCGGAATACTAATATACATGATAAGCTATTTTGCAAGGTTCCTTATAGAAGTGATTGAATTAGGAAGGAAAGGAATAGAGGATGACAAGTGACACCCATAAAGGAGTTGGCGCGACGCCCCTGTAGTACTGGCGCAACAAGGATGCGATGCTCCAGGCCCAAAGTACTGAGGCACCATTTCTGCGCACTAGCAGCACGTTGCGCCAACCTACTAGGTGCGAGTTCGGCCCGGCAAAGGCAAAGCTTACGTTTTAGTGAATGTTGGGTTTAATCACTACAAGAAAGGATACATTACATGGGGATTTTCCTGGGAATTAGTATGAAAAATTGCAGGAAAATAATTTTCCTACGAATTTTTATACTAATCCCTTGAAAAAATCTCATTTTATTCACATTTTTCTTCTAGTGAATTAGGATTCATTCTTGGGTTATATTTGGAAATACTTTTCCGAAACTCTATAAATAGGACATACGTTTGTTTTGTAGGGTTTGACTACTTTTTGGTGTGCAGGAACAAGAATTCAAGTTTTCTACTAGGTTTTGAATCTATAACTCTATTTTATTTAGGAAATCACATGAACAATTACATTTTATGATTTCTGAATAGTATGAGTGGATAAGTGTCCTTGTTCTGGGGTTGTAGCTATGTATTGATTGTTAAATATTGATGGCTTTGAATCAATTATTGGTTATCATTGTAGGTTACATTTATATTCATATTTTAGTATTTCATACTTGATCACCATAGAAATAAATCTCTTGTCTCTTCTTAAAATCGAGAGAGGTTAAGGTAGATGAACCAACGAATATAAAAAAGCTTGAACTCCATTGAGGTTATTTGTAAGAGTGACGCTCCAAAGAACAACTATCTTGGTTGTGAAATAGGATGAAATATAAATTCCCATCAATTAATACTGTCTATCCCCACTCAACGATGTAGTTAAACAACTGATTCAAGTAGGCGACTAGAGGTCGAGAGACCTGACTCATACAATTAATCGTGTAAATCTAGTTAATTGGCTGAGATATGATACATGAAATCCAATGCATGTTGCAGCCATGGAAATGTCTTTTACTTGCTGAAAAAATCAATTTTGAAGTCATTCACAATAGTAACTTTTATTATTGCAGAAGTCGTAATTGTAATAGTCAACCTTCCACCCCCTTTTAAGTTACTTTTGACGAGTTGTGGAATTATATTACTTAGTATAACTTGATCATAAGTTCCTTGGGAACTAAAACTCGTTTCTCCATAAAATATATTACTTTAGCGACCACGTAGAATTGCATGTATATTTGGGAGCAACAATATTCAAAATTATTCTCATACTAAAGAATATACCTAGCACATATGATCAATTTAATAATCATCTTATACGACCTTATATGTAAATAAAATATTGTTCAGGCCATAACTTAGAAAGTTTTGGCTTGTCATATTATTATTATTATTGTTATTATCTTATTCTTATTGTTATTATAATAGTAAAATTAAAAGTAATAATAATAGTATAATAAAGATAAAAAACAAAAATAATAATAATAATAATAATAATAATAATAAATAAATAATTAAATATTTAATTATATATTAATACAATGAAGTAAAAAGGTTATTACACATTTACATAATCAAAATGACAAAATTTAATATTTAAATAATTAGATATTTTATATGATTTTAATTTATAATCAGAAGTAAAATCGTAATTCAACTTTTAACTTTGAGGCTTGCTACTTTTAATATTAATATGAACTATGATAGGATATCAGCTATGATATGGGTTTATTCGTTATAGATATGATCTTATCGCTGCGAATAGTAATATTTTACAACTCTGATTATGTATCATAAATACATAGCAGTTAGACATTTGGTGCACGTTTTCTTATGATTAGGTTCTATTTTTGTATTGATTATTATTGTAGTACTATTTAAGCTATGCTTTCTTTACATCACAGAAAACTGATGTCTCTTGCCCCGTTCCTAGTTAATCTTCAAACTAAGTTAATCTAGTCTATATTAAGTGAATTATAGAGAGTTTTTTTATAGTTCAGAACAAGTGAGTTATTTAAAATTCATAATAATTGTTCAACATATTTTTTTTTTCACTTTTAATCTTCATATTAATGAATTTCTTAACTAATTTACATTTTCTAAAGAATAGTATGAGAATAACAATAAAATTAATTGTGGAATCAAAGTATTAACTTTTAATTTGTTCCCTTAAATATACTTTTTTCTTGAATAATGTATCACGCTCTAAGAATTCACTTAATATGGAGTAGAAGGAGTAATAACCCGCTAGTTAATTTGCTTCAGTTGGGTCGTTAGACAAAGTTGTCTAATTTTAGTAATTAAATTTGAGACCATTGTGTGCGCTACTATAGAAAATAAGGAATAAGCCATGGATAATGTTTAGTAGGTAAAAAACAAGAATCTCATGTTAATTCAATTTAGCCATGAATTAACTAAAGATTACAGAAAAATTCTGATATGAGATGAGGATATGGGATTCCCGAACATTACGAATTGAATAAGTCCTCTTCTAGCAATATCCTTATTACCTGGATTCCAAATGCAAGTTGGTATTTGGGAATAAAGTTTGAAGCATTTTTGAATGGCAAGTGTTATAAATAACTACCACGAAATGTGGGAGAAGCATGAGATGCCTTTTTTATCTTATTAGAATCAGCAATTTATTATAATTGTCTTATATAGTCCTATAAATTTGTCAAACTTGAATCAACATTTTCATAAGCAACCTCAAATCATCCAAAATGGGTCTTCAAACTGATATGTACCCTTCAAATGGCTTCAAGCAGCAGCTTAGCTACTATGACGATAACGACTACTATTCATCGGAGGATAATTATTACAGCAACAATGGCTCAAGCATGCAAATGAAGAAGCCTTATGGTTATCCCACCTCTAGTCCAACCCAAAATCATCACATGATGATGAGCCATGGCGGCTATAGCCACGATGACAAGTACCAATATGGGCATATGTCTCATGATTCTGCTAATAGTTCCAGCTATGGATCAAGTGGTTTTCAACACACTTCCAACATGAATGGTGGCTATGGATCAAGTGGAATGCAACACTCTTCCCACGCGAATGCTGGCTATGGAAGTGCGATGTATGGAAGTGCAATGCAACAATCTTCCCACATTAACGGTGGCTATGGAAGCGGAATGCAGCATGCTTCCCACATGAGTGGTGGCTATGGAAGCGGAATGCAACATACATCCAACATGACTGGTGGTTGCGGCAGTGGAATGCAACACTCTTCACAGATGAATGGTGGTTATGGGGGTGGGATGCACCACTCTTCACACATGAATGGTGGTTATGGGGGTGGGATGCATCAATATTCCCACACACACATGTCCAGGGGAGTAGAGAAGGATTCCGATAGGAAGCCTGCTTACTATGAACAGCATAACAACAATACTGATCATATGTGGAACATGAAGAGTTTGAATGACTAAATCCCCAAAAGTGTTTTCTCTAAGGTGGAACTATATATGGGTGTTTTTATTGAGTCTTTGGCTATATTACAAAGGCCTAAAACCTAAATAATGAATCTAAACAACCCTGCTACTATGTACTCTTCCATGTATTAGTTTCTTTTTTAATACACAAAACTATGAATAATTTGAATTAAATGTATTACTGTCTTCGATAAAGTCATTTCCATCTACTTTTTACTCTTCGTGGCAGAAAGATGAAAATTGTTGGCAAAAAGGCATCAATCCTCCCATTTTCCTAGAACTTGCAGCCGATTATTATCACAACTATTGCGGTTAAAATGAGCTCATATTTTGTTTTAATGAAAAATACATAACTAAGCAAACATAACTACCATATCGACTTAATCCATCTATTTAATTAGAAATAACATAACTCAACCAAGGTTTCTTTTTTCCTAAGAAAAATCATAAAGTACTCTCTTCTATCTATCACTTCTTTCTCTCTTCCTCTCTTTGATCTCATCACTAACCCTTCTTCATCAAATCTCCACCACTAAAGAATCATGAATAATCTCCAAATTAAAAATATTATCACCATCATCATCTTATTCATGAATCATCTCCAACATCAAGAATTTGCATATCCAATTTTCAGATCAAGTTTAGGTTTTTTGAGATCTACAGAGTTCTGTTAGGAATATAAATAAATTATTTATGAATTCATATAGAGGAGAGTAATAGGTAAAAGTAGTGAAATTTTAGGACTATTTCCAGATGGTCACTGATGGCAGCTGTTAGATTTTGCTCAGATATACAGAGGCTTGTTGGAGGAAATGAATTGTGTATTCATGTCGAGGAAGGTTCATGAAATAGGTGGTGAAAATATTGGGGGCATTTTGAGATTTTTGGGGAGAAGTTTTGGTTCTAGTGGGCTAGCAAGCACCGAGACTCCCCCCTAGATACGAAATCGTGCTGAGAGTCATAAGTTATCCATAGCTAACCTCATGGAATGGCATGATAGTAAGATGTACAAATGAAGAATCTAAAAGCGGAAGATAATTGGAACAGGTGTATTTAAACAAACAGAAATAGTCAAATAACTAAGTAGGCATGAGCAAAATCTAACTAACAAAGTTTCTACTATTTGATATGAGTTGCTAAGACAAGCTCCTAGACAACTCTAAATTCTGAAAACTGAAAGGAATATAAGGGGGTGTCTCGGAGAAATGAGGACTTTGTTGGGTATTATTTGCCTTGAATTCTTACCGTAAGTAGATTTTCCTTTTATATAAAAGTTTAGAGTGACTAATCCTTTTCTTGTAGGAAAAGATTTAGGACTCTATAAATAGAGACTTGTTTCATTTAACTTATTCGACATTCACAATGTAGTCGTAGGGGCTTTGAGAGTTTCCGTTGGGAGGAGAATTTGTGGGACACAAGTGACGCGATATTACTTGTGTGATCCTCCTTATATATCAAGTGAATGTATTGATGTTATCTATCTCTATATTTTTTAATTTGTGTTTATATAGTTACTTGATCATCTCCTTTGTTGATGTAAGTCGATTGACCGAACCACGTTAACTCTTTGTGTCATATGGTGTATTTCTTGTTTGTTTTCTTACTCATGTTCTTTCAAGGTTTGTTTTGTTAGCTTCCACATAACACTTAATTATTTTTCGATCCTAACTAGTGGTATCAAAGTCGGGTTAACTGATGGAGACAAAATCAGTGGTTTGATAATTGATGGTTGAAGCAAGGTTAAAAGTTCTAGCTAGGCACAACCTATTTTGATAGTAATGAAGTTTTTTGTTGAGGAAATTGTTTAAAAAAAAGTTATTTGTATTGAAACATAGATTTTTCATAGGTGATTATAAGATGAGATGCAAGTTGTTTAATATTATTTAAAGAAGGCGGACAAATTTAGTTTGTTAGCAATTAGGCCAAGTAGGAGGCTTTTTAGGTATTAATTGTCTTGAGTTTCTTACTGTAAATAAGTTTTCCTTTCAGGAAAGATTTAAGATTGAAATGTATGTTTCTTGTAGAAAAAGTTTTAGAACTTCATAAATATAGGCTTGTTCTTAATAACTTAATCATCATTCACAATGTAGTCCTAGTTGCTTTGAGACTTTTGGTTAGGGGAGAATTTGTGGGACACAAGTGATATGTTATCATATGTGTGAACCTGTCAAGTATTTTGAGTGAATTGGTTGAGGTTCATTCTCTTTATATTGTGCACTCTCCTTTGTGGACGTGAGTTGATTGAACGAACCACATTTAATATTTATGCCTTTTGATATATTTATCGATTGTCTTCTTAGTCATGGTTTTTCGAGGTTCGCATTGTTAGCTTCCACCACATAATTTTGTTCTTCCTAATAAATGGTATCAAAGCCAAGTTCAATGATGGAGGAAGGTTCAATGATGTATTCAAATTTGTTCGTTCAATGATGAAGCTATGTTTAGTGGTTCGATAATCTATTATTGAACCAGGTAATAACTTTGGTGTTCATCTTGGTGGGTGTAGTTCGAGTGTAAATTATTTGACAATAATGAAGATTTTGTAGGAGATATTTCATCAGAAAACCTTGTTGAGACATAGATTTGATGGAGGAGATTATGGACAAGATATGCAAGTTGTTGAACATTATGTAAAGAAAGTTGGACAAATTTAATTTGTTAGAAATTCAGGTCAATGGGTAGATTTGTTGGGTAATTATTTGCCTTGAATTTCTAACCATAAATAGATTTTCATTTTAGAAAAAGGATTAGGAGTTCCTTGTCCTTTTCTTGTATGAAAATATTTAGAACTTTATAAATAGCTGCATGTTCCTTCTAATTAAACCGACGTTCATAATATAGTCCTAAGGCTTTGAGAGTTTTTGTTAGAGGAGAATTTGTGGGACACAAGTGGTAATTTATTACTTTTGTGAACCTCCTTATATTCCAAGTCAATTGAACAAGATTATTTCTCTCTATATTTTGTAATCTCGTGTTTATATAGTGAATTACTCATATCTTAATGGACGTAAGTCGATTAACACAAGTTTCTTTCTACTCGTTCTTTTTCAATGTTTTTTTGCGCACTTTCATATGACACCTAATTATTTCGGTCCTAACAGACTCACCATTAGTGTTTTCTAGTTGTATTGAGAAGGTACTAATCGTGATATGGATACTGAATGTCAAAACCTATATTACCGAGCAATATATGTAGAAAGTATGTGGTTAACCAGGAATATGTATAACAAACATGATATTTGAGCATACTAAATATGTAAAACATTTTGATAGAATGACCAAGTTGAATAACATGATGATGTGATATACTGAACTGAAATACAAAAGTACAAGATCGTGCGATGAGTGAAATTCTGATATGAGAGATACAAAAACCGCTATAAACAACGTGAGAAACTATATGTGTTAAGCCTACTACCCCCATATCGAAAAGAGAGTGTCGAGTACTTGTTGTCATAAGGGACCTTATAACAGAGATAATGTTGATGATTCACTAAGCTAATGCCTATTTGAGACAAATCCTACAGTGACACATAGTTGTGAGACTTAGATATTGCTTCCAAAGGTCTATGGACGCTTATCGAAAACCTGCATCTCTAAATCTTCTTTGTTCTATATATTATTCCCACCGAAAACATGCATAATTTATAAATACTAATAGTCTCAGTATACTACATCATACTAATAACAAATGCAAACTGAATAGCTCATAAATTATAACTGAAAATAATCTGGAACATACTTTATCTGAAAGCATCTAAATCAAGAAAATAATAAATGAGACATTATTCTGAAATAGCATAATTTTTAGTCATGAAAAAAAATAGTATATTGAGGACTCATGAAAATAACATTGAAATCAAGGGATTCATGAGTAAGACATGCAACTAGGGACTGCTCATGAAGAAAAACAAATTTACAATGAAAATCTACGAAGATCATAAAAGTTCTAACTTGTGGGAATCATAAACTTGAAAATTTGAAGTTTCCTTGGGACACAATGGGTGAAGGGATACTCATTGATGAAATCTCACATACATCGAGTAGAAACCTAATGGAATCTTAAAACTTGAAATCCTAGTTCTTGCTTTGGGAGAAGATTTGAGAGAGAGAAACTTTGATTTGGGAGAGTTTAAGGATATGATGAGAGATTAGCATCACCAGAAATCTTTAAATCCCACTTAGAACATTCCAAAATGACTGTGTGTGTGTGTGTGTGCGCGCGCGCGCGCGCGCGTGTGTGTGTGTGTGTGTTGTGTGTGTGTGTGTGTGTGTGTTTTGGTTTAGCTTCCTAATTTCATAAGAAAAATTAAGAGGAGGAGGATACAATGTAGAGATTAACTTTTGATTTTGGGTTTCATATTTTCTTCCCTTTTATTTATTTTACATCTTTTCTTTCAATGATTCGTTGTAATTATTTTATGTCGATGTGGGGTTAAACTTCTTGTTTGTGGATTATATTACTTACAATATGATTGTTTAGTGATTTTAATTCTACATGATTTATTTCTCATATAAGTTGTTCTTATATTCTTGTGATTACTATTTTAATCTTTGATCACCATTATAATAAATTTATTGTCTTCTTTTGATCTGAAGAGAGAAAAGAGGGATAGATTGTGGAATATAAGGAGCATAGTATTTTATTGGATGTCACTTGAATTGATTTATGTGTTGGATAGGGATATATTTAGGTGCCTTACTTTTCTCAAATGTGGGAGACCACTTAATGCTCCATAGTTGGTTTAGTCTATCCCCGCTCAACGATGTAGGTAGGTTGAAAATTGTGATAGATGGTTAGAGGTATGCATATCATTACTATATTATCAACACAGTGAATCAATAACTATATAATCAAATAATTTGATGAATTCAATGCATAACATAATTGTTACTTAAATCATAATCCTAGATCGATTCATTGATTGATTTTTTACAGCAACTATGTTTTCTTATTAATTACTTTTTAATTATTTTATTTCTATTTTTTAGTTTACGTAATATATATTCATTTTTTGAAATCCTCCCTTAAATAAATAATTAGAATTAATATAATTTTGTAAGTAATTAATTGACCAACCCTTTGGGTTCGATAATCAAGTCTTCGTGTACACTTGCGTGTACAGTTGAAAGCAACATGTTTTTTTCTCCACTGTCGGAGACTTAGAAATTAATTGTTTTTTGCGTTAAACTTTTTTC